TGCACATCTACTATGTATATGTCTAGTATAGTCAGAATTGACTCGATAGCAACTGGTTGTTGGTTAGTACATGAGTCAAAAGATCCCAAAAAAAGAAATTTCAGAGTCTACATCTTTATTACGCTCATAATAATCAATCTGACAAGTACTATTTTATTGCTGTCTATATTTTGTTCATTGCCATCAAGTTGATTCTAACTCATGGTCACTGACGTCATTACAGGGGTGTATGTGGAGGTTGTGAACTACACTGGGTAACACTGTCAGGAGGTGACACCAAAATAACTGTCTATAAAATTTTTGTGCAGTGTTTCATCAGAAATTTATAATGTTTTATAAAAATATTCCTGTAAGGTAGGTAAAACAACGCACAGTTTTTGTAAGCCCAGCTTACATGTATCAGTATATTTAAAGACTAAAACTCTATGATAATGTACTTAAAATTTTTTTTTTTTTAATTTTTACAGTGTTCCCTCCCCCCCGATAACTGAATTTTTGAACATTCTAAAGCACTCTGGTCAGAGCTGTCATTATCACACAATTACAGTGATGCTTCCAATTGTGTGGTTTCACCTGCATGTGTTATGAGCATACATTGTTGTTTTTGTTGCTGCTAGTGTTTTTATAGTTGCTGATTTTGTCAAATTTTCTGGTGTTTTACAAAGCTACATTATTGTGGTAATTAGTTTTTGTGTACCTACATAAATAACTTTTTTGAGAATGAAGTAGTAATTAGGGGAAAACCAAACCCACTGCTGCTGAGTTGATTCCAACTCATAGTGACCCTGCAGGATAGAGTAGAACTGCCCCACGGGGTTTCCAAGGCTGTAAATCTTTACAAAAGCAGACTGCCACATTTTTCTCCCACAGAGCAGCTGGTTGGTGGGCTCAAACTGCTGACTTTTCAGCTAGCAGCTGAGCTCTTAGCCACTGCACCACCAGGCCTCCTTAATTAAAGGAAAAGGAGAAAAATCAAAAAGGCTTCCACTCAGTTACTAATGTTGTAACTAGTAATGTTGTAATTCAATGTAGAAAGATTTTACAGAACAATTCTATTAGTATTCATATAGTCTAAGAAATGTTACATTTAAACCTATTAAGATTTAGCTATTTTCTGCTTTTAATTTTTTGTTAAAATCGTATGTTTTCAATAATGGAAGGCATTTTTAATGAAATAAAAAAAATTTTTTTTGAGGTAATATGGATTTTGATACAATTAATGGGACAGATATGTCCCAAGGAATTTCTGATGCTGGGGTTGGTGGGGCAAGGCCCATTTCTTCAGATTCATGCAATTATACAGACTCCCACAAGATGGCAGCACACACTACAAGTGGGATGGCAGTTTCCCACTAAAACTCACTGGCAGTGAGTCAATTCCAACTCATAGCACCTCTAGAAGGCAGAGCAGAACTGCCCTATAGGGTTTCTAAAGCTGTATATCTTTACAGAAGCAGACAGCCTCATCTTTCTCCCATAGAGCAGCTGGTAGGTTTGAACCAATGACATTTGGGTTAGCAGCCAAGTACTTTGACCACTGTACCACCAGAGCTCCTTCACTAAACTCCAGAGACAGAAAATGTAGGTGGGCACCATATGTCCCACAAGTGATGAAAAGGTTAAGCAATTTACAACTATATTTATCACATATTATTCTATGATTAAAATTAATAAACATTATTAACGATTCTGTATGGTCTCGTACAGGAAGAAGCCGATGCAGGGGTTTATGTGACACCATGAGTCACCGCATTGAGTGACAACGCTACTGATGCTACTGCTCACGATGATACATGCGTTACAGAGTAGAACTGAGCTTCACAGAATTTTCAAGGCTGTCACCTTTTGGAAGCACACAGCCAGGCCTTACTTCCAAAGTGCCTCTGGGTGAGTTTGAACTGCCAGCCTTTCATTTAGTAGTCCAGTGCTTAACCATCTGTGTCACCCAGAGAGATAAGTGCTATACAGACATAAAGATGACAACTCACATACTATTTGAAGTACCCATGTTAATCCCAAAATTGTATTTTATAGCATTAAATAAACAGCCCTCACCAACTTTACTGTGAGATAAATAAGAAAAACTGTCTATACCCATGCCCCTCCACAAAAAAGGCTTAAGACAGTTTTTTTTTTTTTTTTCCCCCTAAAGGTGAATCAATGTTACTCAATTCCTGGACTAAACATCAGCCCTACTGAACCATAATCTCCAAAAGAGCAGGTCCTAGGAATCTACTTTTTAACAAGTGCCCAGGTGGTTCTTATGCACTGATGTTGAAGAACCACTGGTATAAAGGGTGTGGCATAAGGAGTTGCCTTGACTTATTCAAGGTTCTAAGAACTACAAGACAAATATAGGCACAGAACTTAGAAATCCTGATTAACGCACCACCCACCATGGCATGAGTAACTCCCAAAAATATAGCACTGTGAGTTGACAAAAGTACTAAAAATCACTGCAAGTTATCTGAGGCTTCATATGTAAAAACTCAAGTTTTTAGTGGCTTCATTTGCAGAAAGCCAAAATTTGGTCATGACTCCTCTAGAAGGGAAGATTCACTGGGAAAAGATAAGACAGGCCAAAAAATGAGGGGTATAATTAACCCCTAAAAGCTCCCCAAAGTAAAGGACAATACTAAAATGTGTATGAGTATAGAATATGTGAAAAAAAGGATGACATAATCAGAATAATTAAGTAGGTTTGGAGTGAAACTTAGTGCCTTCAACATTATGCACAAGACATAGTGCCCAGAATAGCTAGAGAGCTCACAGTCAGCTTTCTTGCAGTGGATAAACATGACTCACCAACCTACCCAAGCTACACTAAATTATTCTTTAAGGGATTATTTTCACAATTAAAATGTATAAATTTGCCTCATGGTTCTAGGCATTCTTGTGTGAATTGGGAAGAATAAATCAGCTTTCTAAAGATCTGGTAATCTTGGTGAAATTAACTTAAAGCCTTGCTATTTGACCACACTCCCTCAACTCTTCACTGATTTTGCAATTAACAAAAAGGAAAAAGAATTATATTAAACGTATCTTGTAATTAATGAAGATTTAGTTAAAATATGGACGGTATTTAGAGAGGCAGAGGAAGGCTAGCCAATGGGATGTTAGGAACTACTACACAGCACTTCTTCAATTCACCATGGTTCAAGATCTGACTCTCAGCACTACAGGACTAGAAACTTAACAAGTCTTCAAAAACGATTACATTCAGGGATGCCGATCAGCCTTTTCTAAAGGGATTTTTAAAAATAGAAGTAAACTCATTACATTCCATTAGTATAGAGATCAAGTGGATCAAATGAAATTGAGAATTCCCTCAAGATTCCTGTTGCTGTGTTGTTATGTGACTCATAGTGACCCCTCCTTGGGTTTCCGAGGTGGTATCACTACGGAAGTAGATTGCCCAACCTTCCTTCCCAGGAGTGGCTGGTCGGTTTGAACTGCCACCCTGGTTATTCAATCCAACACTAACTAGATACTGCTGTGAAGGGATTCTGCAGATGGAATTAAGGTTACTAATCAGCTGACCTTAAAGGAGGGAGATTATCCTTCATCACCTGGATGGGCCCAATGTAATCATGTAAAACTTTAAAAATAGAAGAGACTAGCAAAAGAGTCAGTCAGGAAGACTCTAAGTGTGAGGAAGATTTCCTGTTGTTACTTCCTCTGAAGATAGGGAAAAGAACAGAGTCAAGGAATGTCAGTGAGAGTGACTCCTGGCTAACAGCCACTAAGGAAATAGGGGCTTCAGTCCCACAATTGCATGGAACTGAATTTTGCTAAAAACCTCAACGAGCCTGGAAGCAGATTCTCCCCAGGACATCCAGATATGAGACAAGGCCTACCAACACCTTGATTTCAGCCTTGTGGAACCCACAGCAAACCAACCAGGCCTACCAGATTTGTACAGAACTGTGAGATACAAACTTGTTTTAAGCCCTTTAATTTTTGGTAATTTGGTATAGTAGTAGCAATAGAAAACTAATATAGTGCCAACTGAGTAATCTATGATGTGAAACTATTACTATCAAGCAGATACCATCCAGCATTCTTCTCTGTATGAAAAACTGGGAAATCCAATGTCAGAAAACACTTGGTGAACTAGGAGATTTAGTTATATGCTTAATATGCTCTAGTAACTGACAAAATGGGAGCTCTGGTAGCATAGTGCCTAAGGCACTTGACTGCTAACCAGAAGGCTGGAGGTTCAAACTCACCAGCCACTCCTCGGAAGGAAGGCTGAGCAATCTACTTCCACAGTGATACTGCCTCAGAAATTCAAGGAGTGGTCGCTATGAGTCAGGTCCGACTTGATGGAAAATAACAACAACAACAACTGACAAAACTATCTTGACAAAGGTATATATACTTTCAAGTAGATATGATACTCACTTTGACTTATTAGGGAACTTATTCCCCTGGCCAGGGCTTAGAAGGATACTACTACTATCTGTTTCTCATCCGTACTTTTAGAGGTGGCAATACAACCAATCAAATTAGGGCCAAGTCTTAACTCTGGCCTAAAAAGCAGTATGCCTTGTCAGAGTGATTGTATGTATTAATTATCTCATCTGTTATGTGTTCAATTTACAGCTTAACTCTCAGAAAGTAATCTCCCAAGGCAGGGGAATGGATTCCAGACATAAACTTCACCACTGCTCACATGAAGGACATACAATTAGCCAAACACAGTAACAAAATATTTGCAATAGGTTCATCAACAAACCTAAAAGACAGCATACCTCTTATCTTCTTATCTGTAAATTTTAAAAGAAAGTACTTCCTTTAAATTACTTCAAAATTCGAAACAAAAACCTGAGTACCTAAAACTTTTTGGACTTAAACACCTTGCCACAAAACTCTAAGAAACTTTTTGGGTAATGATCACCAAATTCAGAAGAGGGGGAAAAAAGAGATACTTGGAGATGAACACATTCCCAGTATGAAATTTGAAAATGAATGGAAGTCCCATGCAACATCATCATTACCATTATTTCGTAAGTATGATCACTTTGATGTTTCTTGTACTCAAATCCACGAGTAAAACACTGCAAAAGAAAGGAAAATTAAGTTACCAACAAGGTACTCTTTGAAATGCTTTCTTACAGGATAGGAGATGGTTTGTAAGTACTCTTGTGAAGAGGAATTCACTAAACCTTGTCTGCCGCTGCAAAGGATGGTATATTCATTACCACAGCTTTTCAGTGGCCCTTAAAAAAAAGCGATGCTGTGGTAGTTTGTGTGTCAACTTGGCTGGGCCATGGTTTACAATGGCTGGGCAGCAGGATGTGGTTATTCCCCATGATGAGACTGTAATCATCTCCATGGCTCAATCTGCTGTGAGCAGCTAAGTAGTTGACTTCAGGGTGTGGCCTGCTTCCAGTATATATGGAGAAGCTTTGAGGAAGGTCTCTAGCTTTTTGGCACATTTGGATCCTGCATTTGGCTGAGTAATCTTCTCAGTGGCCTGCCATATTGCCTACGGATCTTGGGATTGCTCCTGGACTTGACTCAGTGGTTTGCTGTGTGCCTGTGGATCTTGGGACTGTCATTCTACTTGCCGACCTTGGATTCATCAGCCATAGCAGCCAGCAGCTGCCTGAGTTAAGAGATGCCTCTAGCTACAGTAGGCATGGAGCAATAGGCAGAGCTGAAGCCCAAGGTCAAGAGGCTTTCAACCAGCCCCTAGAACACTCTGAATTTAGATTTCTAGCCTTGTAAACTGTGGGAGAGGTGCCCTGGTGGCATAGTGCCTAAGGCATTTGACGCCTAACCAGAAAGCTGGCAGTTCAAACCCACCAGCCACCCCTTGAAAGGAAGGTTGAGCGATATACTTCCATAAAGATACTGCCTCAGAAACCCAAGGAGGGGTCGCTATGAGTCAGATCCGACTTGACAGCAGTGAGTTTGTTTTTTTTTTTGGAAACTGTAGGAGAGTAAATCCCTGTCTGTTAAAGCCATCCAATTGTAGTATTTGTTATAGGGGCACTAGAAAACCAAGATAAATGTAAAAAAAAAATACTTTTTTCTAGGACAATCCTACTTTGCTAAGAGCTTGAGCCCTGGAATCAGACTGCCTACATTTAGATCCTTGTTCCATACTTGCCCTATCTCAGCAGTTCTAAGACATACTTTGTTGTCGTATTTTAAAACTGTGAAATTATCTTATAACTGAAGCAGTTCCATCAGCCATTTTTACACATTTTAAAATTTTTGAAATAATCAATGGCATCTTGGATTGGATAAAATACGGTATTTGCTGTGTAACCGTGAGCAAGATACTTAACCTTTTTTTGCCCAAGTTTCTTCATCTATAAAATTGAGATGATAACATTTAACTCATAGGGTTTGTAGTGATGAATGTAAGGATCAATTCATGTAAACTACTCAGAATACTGCCTGACACAGAGTAAGCACCTATAATTAGTGTTAGCGTCTACAACATGGTTTGTTCCCTTGTATGTCACCTGCCCAGATACCACTCTTCAACAAGACAGTGTCACAAATGCTGTAAAAAAACACTCCTCCAGCTCTGCTTCCTGTAGTCCCAATACTGTAAAGCCACTGGCAAAAACAGTGTTAAGCATTAAGCTGATACGGTTGTTGTTGTTATGTGGCGTCGAGTCAGACCTGACTCATAGCGACCCCTCTTTGGGTTTCTGAGGCAGAATCACTATGGAAGTAGACTGCCTAACCTTCCTTCCGAGGAGTGGCTGGTGGGTTTGAACTGCCAGCCTTTGGGTTAGCAGTCAAGTGCCTTAGGCATTATGGTATCAGAGCTCCAAGCTGATACAGAGATGTGGGATATTCAACATTCTCATCCACCTGCTCTGTTCGCCAACTGCACTGACTGGTAAATTGTGATGGAGGATGGACTGGAAGGAACATTCTTCATAAGGCAAGCCTCTCTTTAGTGAGTTACCTGCAAGCAGAGAAAAAAAGGAGGTGGCCCACATTCAGCACACTTGATATAAGGCTCCATGAGGTAGGAAGAACAGCCTCGACAAGGTGGCTTATCAGAGGGATCATCTAGAACAAAGAGAAAACAAATACACTAACTTCAGAACATCATATTATTATGTGAAGTACAAGAATGTAAAAATCTGCAAACAACTACACAGAGAGCTGGGCTGAAAAGTTCATGTAGACAAGATGAGCTCATTCCAAGTAAGAAAAAACAAAAATTGTGCTATTTTTTACATCAGGGCAATTTTGTGCCTTAGGTACATTACTTTAAACAACAGCCCTGCAGAGGGATTTATAAACATAACTTTTAACCAGAACTGTCATGATGCTAGTAACTTATTTTCTAATAGTTGAGAAGGTCAGGGGGGAAAAATGGGCACTCACCTACACAAGTACAGATAAAGCAAATGTGACAGACTGAATCTAGGTGGTGGGCATGCAAGTAATCACACACTGTTCTCTCCATTTAAAAAAATGTTTGCAATTAAATGATTACAAGTTCAACTAGAAAAAGAAACTCCTTTAAATATATGTCTTGGAATATATTATTTTATATCTGAATTGGGATTTAAACCCAGGAAAGCACTCTTCTTCTCTTTTTTCCATGCTAAGCACAGAACGTAACAGACCTTCTTCCAGTTCCAATGACAATATTATGTTCCTAAAATATTAAAGCAATGAGTACAATCCAAATTCTCTAACTCCAAAAGAATCAGATATGTGTTCCTAGTGCCCCAAAGGGAGCTCTGGTAGCATAGTGGCTACGGCACTTGACTGCTAACCAGAAGGCTGGCGGTTCAAATCCACCAGCCACTCCTCGGAAGGAAGATGGGGCAATCTACTTCCGTAGTGATACTGCCTTGGAAACCCAAGGAGGGGTTGCTATGAGTCGGGTCCGACTCGACGGCAAACAACAACAACCAACAACAACAACAACAGTGCCCCAAAGGGACCTTTGGTGGCATAGTGCCTATAGCATTTGACTGCTAACCAGAAGGCTGGCAGTTCAAACCCACCAGCTACTTCTTGGAAAGGTCGGCTGGGCAATCTACTTCCGTAGAGATACCGCCTAGGAAACCCAAGGAGGGGTCGCTATGAGTCAGATCTGACTCCACAGGTAGTGAGGTTTTTTTTTTTAAGTGCCCAAACTCTGCCTCTCTGGACCCAGGACATTTTAGTAAACTTTTCTGTGATCAATAAGCAGGATTCTAAGAAAACATAGGCTTTGAAAGTAGATGAAGAGATTTCATTTGTTTAGCCTGAGGCAGGATTTCTCATTCCTTAATAGCACTCTTCAAGGCACCTTTATTACTTACTGTTCTTTTCAGTTGTTTCTAAGTGAAGACCTGGAGGAAACTGACAAGGATAAGAAATATACTCCTTCTAGCAGCAGCTATCCACTTCCCTCATTTTAAATTGTGACACAGAAGAATGAAAATTGTTTAGTATTAAGTGCTAGATGCCAATTTTTATCAAATAACCCTCTTCTTCACTTTCTTGTTATTTTAGTAATTTAACTTTTCTTTTCTTTCCTCAAACTCAAACATCAGCCACTGAGCAGAGAAGTCTTTTTAACAGGTCAAAGTCAGAAAACAATACGAACCATCTTAAAGCATACAACTCAGTGGCATTCACAATCTTGTGCAATCATCACCTCTAATCCCCAGGAGACCCTGTACCCTTAAGCATTTGCCACCCATACTGCCCTCTCCTCAGCCTCTGGTAACCACCAATCTGCTTTCTGTCTCTATGGATTTAATTATTCAGGATATCCATATAAATGAAAACATACGTGATCTTCTATATCTGGCTTTTTTCACTTAATATTTTCCATGTTAATTCACATTATAGCATGTATCAGTATTTCATTCCTTTCTTACAGCTAAATAATAAATATTCCACTATGAAAGAGCTTTTAAACTCTCAGGTCCAAAAACAATTATTTTGTAAAAGCAATCCATATTTACAATTGTTAAAATTTTAGACATAAAGATATAAAGAACAAAGTATACCCACTGCCATCAAGTCAATTCCAATTTATAGCAACCCTATAGGACAGAGTCGAACTGCCCCATAGGGTTTCCAAATCTGTAAATCTTTATGGAAGCAGACTGCCTCATCTCTCTCCTGTGGCCACTACCCAGGAATATTCATCATTAACATTTTGAAAATATTCGTATAGTTCTTCTATGTGTGTGTGCATGTATATGAAACAAAAGTGGAGTACTGTACATGTTTTATAAGCACTCTGGTGGCACGAGGGTTAAGCGCTTGCCTGCTATCCAGAAAGTCAGTGGTTAAACTCACTAACCATTCTGTGGGAGGAAAGACCTGGCAAGCTTCTCCTAGGAAACTCTAGTGAGACAGTTCTTCTCGTAGGGTTGCTATGAGTCAGAATTACACATTTTGTAGCCTTTTTTTCACCTGACAATATGTTGTGAACATCTTTTCATGACAGTACATATAGATCTTCCTCATTCCTTTTAATGACGAGTACTATTACATTGCTATCAATCATCTAGTGGTTCTCAACAGGTGTGATACTGCCCCCTAGGAGTATATTTTTGGAAATGTGAGGAGGTGCTTTTTGGTTCCACAATGACTGAGAAGCATTACTAGAATTTAGCAGGCAGGGATGAGGGAGGCTTAGAAACCTTGCAACCCTCAAGACAGTCCTATTAAACAAAACTGGTCTGTGTCCTCTACAACTTTCAAATGTTCACCAGACATTCAAGTGAAAAACCTGTTCATAATTACATGAGCCTAAAACCGAATTATACAAATACAAAGTATTTTTGAGTTTTTACTATACACAGACTTTTCCAGAGAGATAAGTGCATGTAATTCTAGAGAAGATTGTTATTTTTTTTTCTCAGAACTTTATGAGGAGTTATTCAAACTTGTTGTGTTCCTGAATCACCAATACCACACATCTGAATCATTCTGCATTTGTTGCTAAGACTCTCAGTGATTCAACAAATGGGTGTAATCATCTGACTACTTACGTCACTGTTTTCTATAGGCAGTCCTCATGTTTCAAGCATCTGACTTACAATTTGTACAACCCCTACTTACAACAAATTCTTGATCACAATCATATTCACGAGCTGCACAGACAGTTTTTAAATCACTGAAAAGGCCTCAAGCCTTTTTCTGCACTGAATAAGAAACATATACACCTGTTCCCACTTACCTACAAATTAGACTTAAGGACACTTAGGAATGGATCTCATTCATAATGGGGTGACTACTTGTACTATAGTCATGCCTGAACATTCAAATATATACTATTTAATTATAAATTGCATCATTTTATTAAAAGTTACTTAACATTTCCTTTGTATCAAAGTCATTGTTTTTTTGAAATCAGTTTTATGTATCATTATATATTTACATAAAAGTGTATACTATATTATCTATGTATTTCATTTCCCAGTATTAAGCAGCTTTAAAACGATCATAAAAGAAATTACTAGATCTGCTAAGACTGAGAATTAATCTAACCAGTCCCTAACTCATGGGCATTATGTTGTTTCTAATTTTAAAGAATCAACATTCTTGTACATACAATACTACATACTTGTTCTTCAGGATACATATCTTCCTAGAACTAGAATTTTCAAGAATACAAGAGGTTTTCTGAGGTTTCTGACACATACACTGCCCTTCAAAAAAGTATTCCAGACCTTTTATTTTACCTGGGGGTACGGAAAAGCCTTTTTCCCATCATTTAAAATCCAGATGCAATAAAGATTCATGATTTGAATACATTAATAAAAACAAAACAAATAAAAAAATACTCTTGGCCAAAAAACACCATGTTGTTGTTGTTAGGTGACGCCAACTTGGTTCTGACTCACAGAACCCTATGTACAGCATAGTGCCACGCTGCCTGGGCCTGTGCCAGCCTCATAACTGTTGCTATGTTTGAGCCCACTGTTGGAGTCACTGTATCAATCCACCTTGTTAAGGGTCTTCCTGTTTTTCGCTGCCCCTATACTTTACCAAGCATGATGTCCTTGTCCAGGAACTGGTCCCTCCTGATAGCATATCCAAAGTTGGTGAGACAAAGCCTCAGCATCTTCCCTCCTAAGGAGCATTCTGGCTGCACTTCTTACAAGACAGAAATTTTCGTTCTTCTGGCAGTCCGTGGGATATTCAATCTTCTTCACCAACACCATAATTCAAAGGCATCAATTTTTCAGACTACCAGCTTTCACATGCATATGAGGCGACTGAAAATACCATGGTTTGGGTCAGTTTCATCTTAGTCCTTAAAGTGACATCCTTGCCTTTTAACACCTCAAAGAGGTTTTTTTGCAGCACATTATCCAATGCTATACATTGCTTGATTTCTTGATGGGTGATTATGAAATCCTTGACAAAGTCAGTATTTTCTCCATTTATCATGCAGTCTGCTTCCACAAAGATTACACCCTGCGGGACAGTTCTATTCTGTCCTATAGGGTCAATCTAAGTCAGAACTGAATCGACAGCAATGGCATAAAAGTCTAAAATCCCTACTAAACAAAGAATTTTTTAAAATTGGGGGGCAAGGTAAAAAAAAAAAAAAAAAAAGACCAAAATTCCTATCACAAAAGAG